TACCATTACCAAGATCCCTATATACCAATTAACCCAACATTGAGACGCAAGATGACACCAAATACAGAAACCACTTGCAAAAAATGCTAACTTACCTCACCCGTCAGTTGATTGACCCCCAGGTATATATCTCCGAATGACCCCGAACCAATTTTCCGCATAAGTCTGTACTTATCATTGACTAAGATATCAGTTCTCTGTCTGTTAACAAGGTCCGCCATATTTACTGACTGTTTTCCCGGCCAAGCAGTTCTCAATCTATTCAAACAATACAAGCAATTCTCTCTCTTTGTCAGACAGAAATAGCTGACAGGACGCCTGTAAAACCTCGTATTCGGTGAGTGTCAGTAAACAAATCCCCGAAATGAATAGTTCTGTAAGTCTCCGACATTTAATGCCGACCTCATTAAACCTACTGGACAAACCTAGCTGAAGGCGCTTGGTCCCGTATTCAAACCAGATCACGAGTGTGCAGGCTGTGCTATGCATCTTCTACGGGCGTTAGTCAGCTTAGACCAAACGCTTTCCGAGATACCTTTCAAATATAACTACAAACTTCTGACTTGACTGGGTTAGCATACATCAATTATAAATGTGTTACTAGTGAAGGCGTTGTCAAACTCCGAATACTTGTGACCTCTTCAGTGGTGAGACCGACTTGAGCTGGCACACCAATTCACAAACTGTAGATCCGTTCCTCTCTGAAACATTATCTTCTATTTTCAAATTTTTATTTTCATATACTGTATTCATGTTTTCGGACATTTTTTCGTTAGTGTACTTTATATATATAATGTTGGAACAAACTCCTAAATAAGTCAAGATTAGAACCCTTTTGCCTCTCTCATTCCAGTTAATGTCATTTTGGTCGGATAATATCGAGGCTTGGTTCTGCTACACAGTAGCTGATTTCCACGAGCATGGCGTGACAGACCCGCGTGCACAATTCCTCTCACAATTTCATTAGTTACGCCACACTTGGTATATCCATTAGTTATGTATCTGGACCTTAAGAAACTTTTGAAAAAGCTGTCCTTGAACGTGGAGCCCTAACTGACTGACAAAAGTTGGATCAGCTCTTCTGCGGCTCAGCAACAGAATTGTTTTTACGTGAGCGCGAGGTCACTTGTCAACGGACCTTTGATGAGAGGCCTTTTAGATATCTATTCTTGTCTGAGCTTCCCCGATAAGTGAAGATAATGCTTCGAAACAACTCTATGAACGAAGTGGCTGCATTTGCCGACCGGATTTTGGAGACTACACAACTCTAAACACCGAGGTCTATTCAGTCAAACAGAAGCCTCAAACTTCACGAAGTGTCGTCACAGAACTCTGAGATACTCTGAAACGTTAGCTTATTATTCATTGTGGCCGTAGCCGCCTCCAAATTCCTCGAAGCATTTCTTCACGAAAACTAGATCTTGAGGTAAATAAACCTGATTGGTGCTGGTACGATTATAACTGCATTTCTACGTGTTCCAAAACAACTGACTCGAAAATTCTTTCATAAAACTTCCTAGTTGGTACGCGTCAACGACGATCGTAGCCCGAGAAAATATTCGTCTGCTATACATCACTGACGCGATGATTAAAGTTCGCTACGAGGTCGACACTGGCGCAGAGATTAGCTTTCTTCCAGAAATTTCAAAAGGCCGACTGTACAAATCAGTTTTCAACTTACAGGCAGAAAATGGGAAACCAGTTGCAATATATGGTAAGAACTATGTTTATTTTAACGTGGGTTTACGTAAATCCATTCATTAGATTTTAGTTGCTGCAGATGTTTCTATGTCAGTCATGAGTATGGAGCTTATTGTTGCTTATTGACACGCGCAAATGGAGCTTAGTAAACGGAAACACTTATTCATCTGTTTGCGTAACTTCCTCATCTGGTTACTCTAGAAGTCAGATAGGACATCGGCCTTACAACGTCCGAAGATTCTCGAGGCTCACCTTACGCCTTTTACCCACAATTGAGCATAGGCCGGCAACTAGCATTCTCCCTCCCACCCTGTCTTTAGCCTTCCCTACTAGTTCTATCCAATTGTTGCTCATTCTTCTCATGTCTGTCCCCATTTCTCGGCATATTGTGTTTTTTGTTCTTCCTCGTCACCCTTGACCTTGAGGATTGCAAGTGAGTGCTTGCCTTGTGCAGTAGTTGGGTCCTATCCACTTCCAGCGCTTCTTTCTGATTTCTTCCTCCGCTTGAATCTGTTTTGTTCTCTCCTACAGTAGGTTGTCACTGATAGTGTCTGGACAACGGATCCGAAGTTTTTTTCGTAGACAACTGCTAATAAACATTGTATCTTCTGTAGGTTGGCTTTCATAGTTTTCCAGGTTTCCGCTCCATTACAATAAAACTGTCTAGACATTTGTATTAAGAATTCTGAATTTGGTGTTGATCGACAGTTGTTTGGAATTCCAGATGTTCTTCAGTTGTAAATATGCTGGTCTTGCTTTGCCAATTCTCGCCCTCAAATCTGCATCAGACCCACAGTGTTCATCAATGGTGCTGCCCAGATATATAGAGATTTACATCTTCCAACTTTTCCCCGTCAAGTGTTATCCGATTGGTGCAAGCTGTATCGTTTCGGAGAATCTTGCGTTTCCTTTTGTGTATGTTGAGACCTACTGATGCTGATGCTGTTTCCACACTAGTCGTCTTCTCCGGTATTTGTTGTTGCGTGCGCGATAAAAGAGTCAGATCGTCTGCGAGATCTAGGTCGTCCAGCTGCATCCTAGCTGTCCACTGTACCTTTGCTTCCCCTCAGATATTGACGTCTTTATGATCCAGTCGATCACCAGGAGAAAGAGGAAAGGTAAGAGTAAGTAGCCTTGTCTGACTCCGGTCGTTACTTCGAACGAATCTGTCAGCTGTCCTCCATACACGATTTCGCAGTTTAATCCATCATAGGAATTCCGTATGGTACTGACTATCTTCTCAGGCACGCAGTAGTGTCGAGGCATCCATAGTGTGCTTTCTCGTAGTCAATGAAGTTGATGCAGAGTGATGAATACCATTCAATTGATTATTCCACAATGATCCGTAGCGTTGCGATTTGGTCTGTATTCTCCAACATTGATGCCGACTTCATTATTTTTACAGCACACACCTTAGCTGATGGTGCTCGGCGAAGTGTGCCCACCAAATAACGTTTGGGTACGGTGTGATGCCCATCTTCCAAAACATCTTGGATTCAATATTTTCGACAAACCAATCATTTTCGAATCACTTATTTCCTAAATTCTGGTTTAACTTGGGTTCTCGTTAAGGTGTTTAACGGGCGGTAGAGTTATAAATTTATGAATATCCATGACATCCTAATTTCTTTTTACAGTGTAAGTACGTCAAGTTTAATACAACAATTTGTATAGCGTGCAAAGCTATTATACAAATGACTAGAAACGAACTCAATTTACGTCAAAGTAAGACATTGCGTCACTGGATAAAAATTAAGCGGATTCAACGAAGAAAATTTAATTTCCGAAAGAGCCATTTGTTTGAGCTTAAGCAAGTGTATAGACTTCCGTTGGCAATTCCCAAACAGTCAAGCAGCCAATCACGATGACATAGGGATTACCATTTTCGCCACTTTCGTAAACATAGTAAATGTTATGTAACATCCCGTGCATCTCTGGATTTTCTATCGCATAAGTTGGGAGTTTAAAAATCCCAAGGGCTAGTTAGGGTGCAGCTTGTTTGGTTTTTACCTCGCCGGTTTAAGCAAACAACAACCAGATGAACGTCAAACGGCTCACTCTACTGAAATCATATGCACCATGGCCTTCATCAAACACCAATATCATAGTGTACCAATTTAGCCACACAAAAGCCACATATACAGTCGGCTGATATTTAACTTCAAGGAGCTAATTCTATATAACAAAGCCTATCGACTATCTAAATTATAGGTTATTAGGACTTACCTGTGAACGAAGAATGATTACCCGAATCGCTAATGGATAAATACACGGATCAAAGCAAATCAGTAAAACTAAACATAGTTTCGAATATTTTTCCAATAAGACTTCCACTAAAGGTTTACTGAGCAGTAATCATTGTCAACCTAGGGATTCAAGCAAGTGAAACATCACTTATCACTTAAGGGTTGTGCAGAATATTAAGTTATTGATTGAGATCTTGAACCGATTGATTTTAGACCACCATCGGAAGCCTGGAAGCACTGGACGGCCGTTTCGTCCTACAGTGGAACTCCTCAGCAGTTCGCATCCGGGATCTCGCTCGTGATATTTGAACCCAGGTCCTTCAGTCTCGCGCGCTAACACCTATCCTCTAGACCACTGAGTCGGCATTCAATGGTGTTAATGTCTAACCTCAACCATTCGGCGAAATCGTGCAACTGGATGCGCACTACTGAGGACTTCCACGATAGGACGAAATGACCGTCCAGTGATTTCAGGTTTCTAATGGTAGTCTAACATCAATCGGCTCATGATGTCAATCAAAAGTATCATTTAAGCCTCGTGTGAATGTGTCCTGATTACAGAAGCCGGACACTGATTACAAAAGTATAAATATAGCAAGATTCGGAACTCTAATAATTTTTAAATAGGAATTATGCTGTTATATGTAAAACCCATCAACCAAGTAAACAGAGAAATGATTATATTTTCTGGAGGTGATATACATGGTTGGTGCGGTAACGAGTATATTGATAATCTACACTGACTCACGGCATGCTGTCTGCCAGTTTGTAGCGTTTCTGCCTCTCATTATTATATATGTGTGCAATATCTACCGTCTTTCTGTTCATTTCAAAGTGAGTGCTGCATATCAGAGCACAATTTTTATTCAACAGTTCCGGACGTTCTTCGATAGTATGTTCACAGAAGACATACATTGATGCATTTACGTGTTTAAAATGAATTTCATAAGGAAAATTATACTTACATATGATGTCAGGGGACAAAAGGTGGATGACAAGATGGTCGGATATGCTAGGTGTTGAACCCTCATTGAACATAGACGAATGGCTATACTTACACTTTAGAAATCCTCCCTTCAAAAAATACTTGTCATTACCGGAAGAATGCCTTACTCATGCGAGACTCGTAAGTTTTAAAGACAAATTCTGCATTCCCAAAGTCTGCTTACTCTATGGCAAAAACTTGACACTGAAACGTTTAGGTCATATTCTACAGGTCACTTTTTAAGTGGAATTATCGGCTACAGATTGGAGATTGGAAGTTGGAGGGTTGTCGCGCTTTTTCAAACTGGTAAGATGAGTCGGAATATATATTACTCCGAAAAATACTACGATGACATCTATGAATACAGGTAAGCCTAAAATGAACAAACAATTGCCTATTTAAAATTATAGACACGTCCACCTACCGAAAGATTTGGCGAAACAGGTACCTAAAAATCACCTTATGTCCGAAATGGAGTGGCGAAAGTTGGGGATTCAACAGTCAGCTGGTTGGGTGCATTATATGATCCATGAACCAGAACCACATATCATTCTGTTCCGACGATCACGCACTGATATACAACAACCAACATCATCTGCTGCTAATAAGACAGAATCTGGTCAAGTCCCTATGCATGCATAACTGTTAACTTTAGCAAACAAACTGCGTGTTAAGTTCTTCTTTGTTGGAAATCGTTAAATAATATGTCACTGAATCACTGCTGCAAAATGCTTATGTATATACACTACTTTCTATAGATGTTTATATTACTAGGTACGTATGTATCTATATTCACTTTGACGCATGAGTGACTTTGTTTTCAATTGTCATGTGGTGATTATAGGTCTAACGGTTGTTAAGCTACTTGCGAGCTGAACATGACGTCACAAGGCACTATGGTGTGACTCTGGTAGTCCATTCACTTTCATCTTAATCTTTTTGCAAATGTTTCTTTGTGCAACTAGTCGTGTAGCTTCATTCATTCGTTATCGTCTCTAACATTGTACTGAGTAAGCTAATGCACGACACTTTCTTACTGTTTACAACAGTGGACCTTAAGGAACTTAGGCAGCCACATCAATAAACAGGATCCTTCGATTCTAAGTAGTACAACGTCGTTATAAATGTATAATTAGTATGTAGTACTGTATGCTTATAAAACCCACACAAAAGAAACCACGTGTCTTAAACCAGAATAATTTTGTAGATGCTCGAAAAACACTGGGATATACACAAATTGACCTGAATTAGTTCGTGTGTTATGAAAATTTACCTCCTACACTTAGGATAATTTTCGGTAAATAAGTTACTAAGCTCCGATTCCCACGTCAAATTATGGAATCCGGAGTAACCTTTTTTGTACATGATCGCTGTTACGGAAGGCTTATAATTTCTGTGCAGATTTTCGTTTGATCATACCTCAATCAAGTATTTGTAGTAGATTCAAACGACTTCGGGTCAAATACACTCCTAACCTGATTAAAATCTAAGGTGGACGTAATCCACTGTAGTGACCCGGGCAACGGCTCACTGCAGATGTGCACAATCTTAGCGCTTTATCTATACACAGATCAGAGCTTCTAAAGAATTTCATAGCTTCAGAAAGTGTTAGAGATATGTTAACAGGTTCCCTATCTATCGATGAAGCTGAATAATATCCATTACTGTAGTTTACAGGTAGGTTTGTCTTGTAGTCGCCATATTTAGTTCAACAGGTGAAATTAAACGTAAGAAATTGACGGAATTAAGTAGGTCCTGATAGCTACTAAAAGTGCTCTGGTAACTCAAGGAAATTAGCACATTAATAGCATTAGACGTTTCTCTCGGATGTGATCTAATGTTTCTGAGAGTATGCCTAGTTTAGAGATGTATATAGTTATATAACTGAAAACTATGGGATGCTAGAGGTATTTCATTCTTGAATATGATTTTTTCACTAGAGCAAATGAGTATTCACTTACATTAAATGGGCTTCGTATTGTGTTTAGTTAGATGCAGCTCAGAATTCTTGACGATTTACTCCAGCTCGTTGATTCCCCAGTAATTTCTCTAATATGGTCGTTTTAGGGATCGAGACATCTATTCAAAGCGTAGTGATGCTATCAAACTATTAAAACCTAAGTGCTTAGTAAGTGGATCTAAGGAGACTTATTTCAGACCAGTGGATAGAGAAATCAGAGGGAAAACCGATAGCTCCTAAATGAGACTTTACTCTTTGGTTTTATGGAGTTTTAGTTAGTTTTCCTCATCCAGAATGTTACATTTGATGTGTGTAGCTGTACTTCGCTCTTGAGGTAATCGGTTTTTCCCGGTTGAGGACCTAGAACTTTAGAACACAAATAATATTTGATGGCCTGCACCATGAGTACCACCTAATGTGAACTGAAAAAAAATTTAAGAAAGTAATTTATTTTCAACAACGTCCTTGGTTCTCTTCGTGTTTTAGAGATAGCCACGAAAAAGAAATAGTGAAGAACGTCTGAGCGCATGCAAATTTGTGTTGGTTTAAGCCACCATCATCCTTCACATTCGAAAAGGAATCAACATAATCAATGTTTCCTTACTTAGAAAGGATATAAGTTTGTAGGAGATGGTTATGTAAAAAATGATATTTCTCAAAATTAAAACGAATTTGGTTCGTATCACATAAGGTTTGCAGTCATAAATTACCAATACTTTGAACTTTATTCACGGAAACTACCTACCCGAAATCAGGTTATCTGTTGGTAAACTAGTGTTACTAGTTAATATTACTTGCATCTAACAGTCCAAAACTTCGCAAGAAGTATACATGTGCATTTTCCTAGTTAATATACCAGTAACTATTCCCGGTTCTTGTTGTCTATCCCACTGAACAGGACTTCCGCACGTCATGCTGTGAAAGTTGGATCTAGCAGCACTTTGGAGCATATGCACTTTAAACAAGCTACCCCGAAACCAGCCGATAATCTGTTCCCTCTGGTAAGGCAAAAAGCAAATAGAGTCATCCTAAATCCATTGCAAAACCTGGATACTTTCCAGTTGTAATTATGAGCAAAAACATACTCTTAATTTTAAAGTATCACAGAAATTTAGAAGATATGTAGTCATTCATGGCATTGTAGTTTTCTGTGAAGTGTCCGTTACAATCCATGTTTCCTGAGTCGAGTTTTATATGTACAAAAGGATTCCAAACATTAATACATTGATCGGTCATGGAGCAGTAACCAGTGTTATTTGTTTTCAGTGTTCGTGAAGTTCTCTCGATGACTTTGCAGCTTGGTAGGTAAACAATATTAATATTACTCAGCGGTCAGTCGTCGTATATATCCTAATCTTACGTGAGGTCGGTCACAAGCCAAATAGCTTAATGGTTATATCTTCGTAGCAATTGTTTCCCTGGAAATATAGATACGTTATGTCGGTTAGTTCCTACAACTACTAAAACCTAGTTCTCAGGTTTCCTGCTAATAGCCTACGACTGCCTGATGTCTTTGAAATACGTTGGCTTCGCAGGATTATGAGGAAGCTTAGATTGCAGTCTATATGGTAGATTTTGCTGTACATAATCCGGCAAACCCTTTTTCCAGCTAAAATCATGAAGGCCCTGCACGCGGAAGTTGTTGATTAAGACTATATTTTGGAAATACATGAGTGCTACGGATGCTCGTACAAAGTAACTTTGTAATAGACAGGTAAGAAAAGTAGACCCATGTTTCTATAAACTCACTGTCGGCATTGTATCTAGGTGTTAAAAAGTGGCAAATTTAGATTCGTCGGTTGCAGTAGTTTAGTCTTACGATGTTGTACACCATATTTGTACTCTAAGTTATTGATATACCAAATATCGGGTGCTGCTCTGTTCAACGTAATCAAATTCGACTACTGATCAGTGTAAATAAAATGCATGAAATCCAATTCATTCGGATGCAATGTCTGATTTATTTTTGGTGCATGATATTTATTTTTCGTCTCTGTCTTCTCATTTGCAATGAGTCATACAAATCATTGTTTAATTACAACAAGTTCTGATATGTTTTGCTCAGTCTGCTTATAATTTAACAGGGATACCTTCCAATAACAACTCAGGGTTTCTTTAGGAGTAGATAAGTTTGTAGACATTTTTTCAGGGGCTGATATCGAAATGTTAGAAGTAATAGGGCGTTTTTTCGCAGTAACGTCGAGATTTTCAGCACTGTGCACCGATTACCCCACATAGGAATCGAACTCTAACGTCTTCTGATCTTTCAGGGAAGAATTTAATCTCAGGACACTGAGTTTTGGTCCAGTGGTTCACATCTTCAGCTTCAAGCGTTTCAGTAGGTACTCTACTCATAGCGTGGTTGAAATTGATACATCATAACTCCGCACTAACTACTTTCTCTTTAACTTCAGCACGCTATTTCTAGATATATCAGATCATAATGACACGACCTAAATGGTTTGTTAGGGTAGACCAATAAGCCCAGTCGCGTTTCAGTTTGATTTAGCGGATTTTACTGGATTTATATTTATATGAATCGGCTTCGTATAAATCCACTGGTTTGTTGGTGTAAAGTAGTTAATTGTTGTAGGTAATATGAAAACTAGAGGTCTAAACCAAGTTGATGAGAAATTCATTTCTTTGCATACCAAACTGGTAACTGTAGCAAGTAATTCCAGACATACTGTTGTATATCTTGTGTAATTTCTTTTGGACCACAGCATGTAGCTGATATCACTTTTGCCAAAACATGATCTGCTGTATATGAATTACCTTTCTAGCGTGATGTAACAGGTTTTTTCTTAACATAAAAATGACTTTGCGTGTTAAAATTTATAAGAGAAATCTGTGTTCTAGGTTATGAATTGACGAGATATTACTGGCTATCTTAATTGTCAGTGTGTATAAGATTAGTGTTGAGTTATTCATCATTGCAATCAGTATTGATAGTTTCCTTTTGTAGGTCGTTAGCTTCAAAGAAAGTTAATTTCATCATTTACATTTGCTCTTCATAAATTCTAGCTTCACTACATTAAATTTAGTTCGCCATACATAGTCCATACTTTTTAAAAATTCAAGATCCAGTAAAACCCAACATTAATAATAATCTGTAGATCGCAATGTCTATTTTCCAACTCGTTTAAATGTTAGACCGAATATCTGTCGTTATGTTCATTAACAAACAAAAAGTCACTTATGTTATGACTTTAAAAATTGTTGAACATAAACATGGTAACATAATATACGTGGTGAGCAATTACTTAATCAATTCGGATCTGAATGTCTTATGAAACTGACTTTTCTACCAGTCATTTGTGACATGTGGTCGCGTTTTGAAGAGTAATCACAACTTACTAAATCAGTTATATTTGTTAGTTATTAATACTTAATTGTATGACATTATAAACATGTATTCACACAGTAAGTTATTGATAAATGTGTGTTAAATAACTATGTAGTGCAGTCCACATGTTAAGCCCATATGCCTTATTCTAGATTCTGGACAAGCCAATCTATCCATTCTTCTTGAGTCGCGTTTTCAGCTTGTTAATTATTCACTTACCAATCTTGACTGTTTTTATATGAGCCTATGTGCGTACACTTCTTATCCTATTGATCACATATCTGTAGCTTATTTTTGTGTGACTATAAGTATTGATTAACGTTTGATTAAATGGAGTTGACTCACACGCCTTCTACACCGCGCGTCGTTTTGTTTCGCTCACTTCTCTTTGTCCATCTGATTGCCAGCCCAAATCAGTGAGCGTGCAAAATATATATATTCGAAACCCATTCTTGTATTTGACTTATTTAATTCCGTTATTCACTAACGCGGATTAGGTCGA